AATTAATATTAACAGAGACACCGAGTCAATTCTCTGAGTAACAGTTAATGGTCTTCGTTTCTTTATCCATGGTTAAAAACAACTGTTAAAATGATTGTGTAGAACTCTTAATTTGCCGTCTGGTTTTGACGCCGCACACCAGCCTATCATAAAGGTTATGCCAGTAATTATTAATATTGGTATATATTAACCTGATGATGACGATGAGGCAAGATGTCGAAACATCTATAGTTTGAGGTAATCATTTGAACTGTTGCCTTAACAATGGATTAGAAAACGAAATATTATTATGGCAGCAATATTATTAAAAAAAACATTCGACTTAGGCATTAGCTGTCAAATACATACAGTTATGATGAAGATGGAGGATATGTTACATACAGCTAAGATTCCCTAAAAATCAAGGGCTATGCCAAGAGATCTTAAACAGCAAAAATTACAAAGTGCGAAAGTATCTTAGAAATGGCTCAATAATGGTTTTAGCCGTGAACACAAAGATGCATTAACTAGAGGGCAAAAGAAACAGGTTATAATTATCGATAAAGCTTAGCCATTAAATCATTAATAGAAAAAAACATACGATAGCATCCTCAGTGTCACCGTTTTCGAGATAGTCCTCGATGATTCGTCTCCCATATTTTTCCAGATGTTCTTCAGACAATTCTGGAGTAATGGACTCGAACTTCACTTTACCCTGGTTGTCAGAATCATAATTGGGGTCCTCTGGATCGACGAACTCCGGCTCCTCATAAAGTTTACCAGAAGCGCCCCAAGTAAATTTACCGCCACCGCCGTCTAAAGCAATCATTCAACTTCTAAAAACGTTATTCAAACAAATCAACTAAGGCGTTAACGGTTGGGGTCTAGATATTTCATTATTATTAGTATTACTAAATAAACTTACAACCGCTAGTTACTATGAAAAGACATCGAAAACAAATGGCTCAATAGTTAAATGCATTCAGTTTACTTATTTTAGAAACTATAGCAGAACCCTACTTCGTACACTGTGTCGGTTATGTCGCAACCGATCTGTGCTTAGTAATTGCTTCGACAGCCGTTCTCTGCTTTATGAAACTGAAGACGACAAAACAATGTGCCGATTAGCGACGAATACACTGAACAGTGGTTGAATTACAGAAAGCAACACAAGATAGCAACCTCTGAGGTTTTGTTATTCCTCACTCTTTCATGATTTGGCGCCATTTGTGATGCCCTTCATCTTACAGTGTGATACAACCCTGATTTCTGTTACTATGCTGTCAGCCAAGAGTGCTTATGATTTTTAAAGAGAGGATATACAGCTCTGTGGCATTTACTGTAGTTTGCTGTTTACCTCCCACATCTTGGTGCTCATTTGTCTACCTCGGAAAGAAAAAAGGCGAGTGACGCGACGAGGGATAGAATCCGGTACATCTCCGTTTTGTGTTCGGCGCTCTACCGGCTGAGCAACCCCGGCCTGAATTACAGACAGGTGGCATAGTGGATTATTAAGCGAATCCGCTATATGTAACAGCCTGGGTTTAATAGGTTCTAACCATTATTGTTCATATTTGACCATGACAACTAACAACAGAACAAACTAGTCAACCAAGTAACAAGAGGTCTGCATTCACGACTCACAACCGTTAATCGTGCGCCCCTAGTCACACCTATTGAAACGTCACTGTTCACAGCCAGCTACAGCTGCAAATACTAGATTTGCAAACAATATAAATATACACTATCAGTTCTAATACAGTACCAATAACATTAGCAATAATAACATTACTGAACAAACCAATATTGCAGCTATAGTAAAGAAACAGTATCTACACTGATGCCACCAATTATACCGCAACTATTCGCAATACCACTAGCTGTAATACCTGCAGGAATAGTACTATCTCGAATACTGCAAGTATTATTTGTACTAGTACTACAAGTTGTTGTGATATTCGTTGTGCTATTAGTTGTACATCGTGGTTTGCCAGTTCCATAAAGCGGAGATTTGCTATGATGAGCGTCATTTTCTCTTTCGGGCACAACAGATCGTGTGAAGTTAAGTCAGATCGATGGATATGCTTAAGGTACGAAATTAAACATAAATGATTTAATAGATGCTGCAGTCGATTTAGCTGCGATAATTATCTTACTAACTATAATGCTTTGCTTGCTTTAGTACTTTCAAAACATACAGCGTCTTAAACTGAATGGAATCATATCAGTGCAAATAGCCACGTCAGTGGTTCCAGACACATGGAAACAAACGAGTGGCAATCCCTATTATAACTACCGATTTTTCAGCCGAATTATACTAGGCTAAACCGAAATAATCAGCAGGAATCAAATCGGTATGCTCCTACTATTTTCTTTCAAAGTCAACAGTATCTATGTTGCGCGAAACACTCATCAAAAAGAGGATTCGACATAAGGTTCATGCTTCATCGCAACTGCATAACCATATTAAACGACTTTTCATACCCGCTGGTAAAAAATGAGCGATGATGATAAAAATGAAACATTCCAAATGAAGGAAAGCGTTCTCCTTTTCACTCATATGATGAATGCCACTCCTCATAAAGGTATAAGTGCAGTTTATATATCGTTTTTTCATGTCATCTTTAAGCAACACATAGAGCTGTGTTATAAGCAGAAGTTAAGTGCACCCAAGAACGTAGCGCATATATGAAACATGCTAAAAGGTGCAAGTGTATGTATTTAAGTAGCACAGGTAAACATGTTTGCATTTTGGTTTCCTTCTCATCTGATGTCAGTAAGTGAACAAAGTGAGATGTACTATTATTTATTAAGTTCCCTGAATTTCTTATAACGAAAATTATCAGACAGGATACACAGCATATGCTTTGTCACATTTACTTCTACGAAACGTATACGTGCTTTTGTACAATCCTTCTGTCGCACTTTAAGATGATCATATTCGTAAAAAAATGGAGCCTGTCAATGTCTTGATTACCAATACTTCATTAACTAAAACTTCAGGGTTCCTGACAAGCGTTCACTACTGCCGTAACGGATATGGAAAAGATTCTGTACTAATGTGAAATAATGGCCTTATTCATTTACGATTAATACATAAATAACAGAAAATAGGCCTTCTTGAAATTCCGTACAAAAAAGAGTCAGGTTAACAAAGGCACTGAACAAAGAAATACGAGAAAGTCGCATAAGGTACAACTCCGTAAATCAATGTTTTATATTAAACTAGAAAAGTTATTCAGCTTCGACAGAGTTACTACACAAAGGACTATCATCCGTATATTAAAACCGAACTAAAATCTTCAGACGAAATATGACGAGAATTAGTGTTAGAAGCAGAGACCTTTCTTAGCCAGGCCCTTGCCTCGGCCGGATCGGGAACGCCGCTGGTTTTTGACGCTTCTGGGAACATGGACAACGCCGTTTACAACAAGGTTGCCACCTAAACGATGTACCAAAACGGCGATAAGGGAGAAGAAACAACCAAACACAATACTTTCGGATTTGGCCCTACGACGGTTAGCGAAGTGGTGCATATGGTGTTTCAATTCAATCATATGAACGGTCGCCGACGAATGCTCTTTGGCATACACCATCTCCGCCTGTAGCTCCGGGTCACTGTCGCTCGCCTCTTCATTGCTGGCGACCGTCACAGCACTAGCTACTGCTAACTTTTCTACTTCACGAGTTTCAGACATGAGAAACAATTCACAGGTTCCACGCTTCACTACAGCAGGTGCAACGTTTCTTGCTACCATATGGCACGTGATGACCGTATCAGTAACGGCTTATAGCAAACTTACACTTCTATAATTATGTTGATCTCTTGACCTGAAACTTCAAGTCGTATCTCTACATATGATTGATGAATAAAGATACCGCTAGTTACCTAAAAAAATGCACTTTTTTGAAACTTCTAATCGTCCTTTATCTATCTGATATTACTGAATATTTTTTTAAATCATTGCATGTGATAAATTTCATTATTGTTTTTTTCCGCTTTGCATTCTTGTTTGAAAATATGTTTGCTTTATTAAATCTGTATAAAAACAACTCTAAAGCATCAACGTCATCGCATATGCATGTACTGCACACGTTATTGCCTTCACTGTGAATGTTTGGAAGACTTAAAATAAACGTTCACAGTATCTTTCTGAACCCGTTCACCGAAACATAGTTTCACTTCATATCTCCTCTATCGCAAACCGTGGAATTTTTCAAATCCTAGAGCATGCCTTACAGACAAAATTCTAACTGCCACTATTTGGTTAATGAATGTCGAAACGGTTGCTAAACGGATAAAATGCGGAGCCGCACCTTCTATGAATTCGTAGTAAGAAAGAAAATTTAACTGCAAACCCAGATGTAAAGACTATGGTTGAAATGCGCACTAATTCTATAAAAAACTGTGGTGAATCTCTTTTATCGCGCAATGGCAGAAGTCGGCGCTCATGTACTCAACTGGCATGATTGCGGTTTATTTAATTGTTTTTTGTCGTAGGCCTCAGTTCCAGCCCGCCAGGTAGTGTGTTTAAATTGTGTTGCATCACGATTAAAAAACGGAAACAGTTTGCCTTGATTTAGCTTACGGTATGAAATCAATACATTCTAATTCATAATGCCATAACATTCTGGTCACCATCACAGTGATATCATGTATTGTATTTTGAGTTGCTTTCACTGTAATTTCATAAAACGAAAAGAAGACACTCTTCGTGGTTGAATAAGAATTCGTCATTTTCTAATTACCAGGGGCCCATTACAATAATAACAGGTTTGCATTCCATAGAAATAATGGTGATTGTTGTAAATTACGATTATCTGCCACTCATCCTGAAGAAACTACGATGCGAGGAACAGTTAAGGCTATTTCTCTAAGATGAGGATAATTACAACAGGCTCGACATAACATTTAAGTGTTATTTTACCATTAGCAGAACTCGAGCAAATTATTGTTAGTTAGGAGTTTTCATATATTTTTATGGATCTAAGGGAGTGAATGCTTAAATGCAGCCAGTATCTTCTTGAAGCATGTATCGGAAAACTAAGAACTAAACCAGTGTACTACATGTTCCGTAAGCTTGGGTCGTAGAGTTCTTGACATGTTTACAATATCAGTCGCGACAACTGGAATAGTTTGTTTAACAAATAAATAACTCTTGAAGTTCACGCAATTGACGGTTAACATCCTGCAAATCTTATACGTAGGCACAGAAAGTCACTTTCGTTCAATACGAGAAAGGGCAGATTCTAACCATGGATATCTGAATTAAGCATTTGTACTCCATCTTACTCTCAAGAATATTGTCTACTGAATATCGCGCTGCTTTATTAAAGGTTCGAGTATTTTTAATTGTCCTTGCACACCATCTTCCACAAATAATAGCATAAATACAGTAAACTAAGTTATACTCCTGCATTGTTCCCGTCTTTGTTGTGGGATTGAGTATGGAGTGGAAAGCGATAAATTCTTCTGGCTTTGGTCATCATCTCTGCGATATAGAAAAAAAGTGAAAATGTCAAGCTCAGAAATTCAGGTGTTTTATCCATCATGGGAGGAGTTCAAAAACTTTTCCGCTTTTATTGACTATATTGAGTCACGCGGGGCCCACCGTAGCGGTTTGGCGAAAATTATTCCGCCGGCAGGATGGAAAGCACGTCGTAGCGGTTACGAAAACTTGGACCTTCAGATAAGGAGGTGAGTTTCTGCTGCTTT